GTATCTGTGTCTCAGGTGGATCGTTTCTCGTTCTTTTTTTTTTTTTTTGTTCCCATAGTTTAGTAGGTGTTACTGAGGAGGAGAGCTCCTTGCATGAAACAGCACTTTTTTTCTTCGAGGGTTTCGATTTCGGGTTGTATTTCTTTTTCGGTCATTTTCCCTCTGTTGTTTTGTTTTTTTTTTTTTTTGGTAGCTCCGGCGCCTCAATCGGAATTAATAGCAACTTGATGAGTTGTTGAAATTATAATTTCGCCCCCTTTCCCTTCCCAAAAACCATTTGCCGAGTCATGGGCAAGAGGGCGCCCCCGAGTTGAACTACTATAGCAATCCATGTTGGAATAAATGCGTTAAATTAGCCCCTCGTGAATGGTTCAATCTTGGCTTCTTTGGCTTCTTTTCAAGTCGCTGCGGTTGCCGCACAACTTGCAGTTGGCCCTAAAGAAATCAAAACAATTTCCGCTCAATTAATAAAAGCCCAGCTCCGATCTTTGACTAATTAGTTGGCCATAAAACAAAAACCCGAAAAAGCCGAAAAACCAAAAACCGAAAACGAAAACTCTACACAAATGGCAGCCCCCTAAAATTTGTCAACTTCCGACGGCACACGGAGATAACAAATAAAATATATAAAAAGCATAAATCTTGGGGGCTCAAAACTAAAAAAAAAGAATCCAACAAGGGAGAAAAAAATAAAGCGAGGCAGACAAATGCAAATCACGGCTGGAAATGCTCTCGAATATGTTTTCTGTTGACAAATAAACGCCTCTGCAAAACGGCGAGACAGCACTTGACAAATGTCCGGTTCGCATCCGCATCTGAGTGTTCAGATACGCAAACATATATACTCGTACAAACATATATACACATTCGAGTATCTGCGTATCTGAGTATCTCTGTATCCGCGTATCTTTGTATCTTCGAGTCACTGGCGCCAAGCTCAGCGCATGCCACATTAAAAATTTGTTTAGCTGCCGCTCGCGCTCCGTCGACTGTGTGATTTCCTCCCCCCGCCTTCCCCTCATTTACCCACAACTCTTTTATTTGTTTATAATTTTTCAAAGCTTAAATGGAGCGAAAGAGACCCGAAAAAGAACCGACTTTGACCCCCGAATGGAATGGTTTCCCCTTTCTCCCGAGAAACAGGTTGACTTCCCAGGCGACATCCGCGGCCATAACTCTTCGAGAAACGCATTTGGTTTTATGCCCGGCTTTGGTAGTTATGCCGCTTAGATATGCCCAAATATCCACCTATCTATCAGTTATACAAATGTTTTATGGCCTTTCTCATGGGAATGATTTGCAGCGGGTTTCTCAGCTGTCAAGTCGACAGCCTTTTAAGTTTCGCTTGGAATTTAGTCGCATTTATCTTGAGGGGAGTTTAAATGTAAAGTTAAAAATGATATACTTAAAAACAAAAAAAAAAACAACTAGATATGAATTTACATTCGATTAGGAAAATCTTAGTAAATCATTTCAAAAACTGTATGCAATTAATTTAAGTTTTAAAAGATTAAAAATCCGGAAAATATATATTGTTAACAATTTACATTTTTAATTGTTAAAAGATTTAAAAATAAATACACAATATAAACTTCACTGAATTACAATTATCTCTAATGAAACCTTACTAATTTTTAAACCATTTAAATGAAGAGAAATCTTTTAAAATATTATAAATGGCTTACGAGACTCTCTATAAAATCGTTTATCATTAAATAGGTTCTTCTAGCTGGCTTATAAGATGTTCCTAAGTTTGGCCTGGTCAAGTTCTGATCTATTTCGATCTGGATACGCTTTGCTTCTGCCCCGAGTTCACTGCTTTCATGTCAAAGTTCAAGACACGCCAAAGTTGCGGGGGAAATGCGGCGGGCAAACTGTTTGTGTTGGCGCCCAACGTGGGGCCCAACTTCTGTCCCGTGGCGAGGCTCTTTCCCCACTCCGCCCCTCCCCCTCCCCCTCGGTGAAGCCCCCCTGGATGCCCACCGTTTCTGTGTCGGCAAAAGTTCTTAAGAAGTTTTTGTGTCATGCCCTCAGGTTGCTGCTGCCGCTGTTGTTGTAAAATTTATTATAAAACTCACAGCGGGCGGGCGCCCAAGAGAGAAAGATGGTCGCCGAGAGTTGTACAAATTTTCTCGTTGACATCTGTGGAGAGTTCCCATTCCCCTTGCCGTTTCCCCTCCCGCCCTGAAAACCCCCACACTGCCATTTGGAGACCCATCCCGCTGCTTTTGATGAGCTGACGAACTCCCGAAGTCAACGCTTTGATGGGGATCGAGTTACTCAAAGCTGTTTCCCCAGAAATCAGCTGGAAGCTGACTATATCTATGTTTATATTCTGTTTGCCGCCGACATTCGATACGCTTGATATTGGTGGAAAGCAAAAAAAAAAAAAAACACACACAAAACTGAGAGAGTGCAGTCTTAATGAAGATGCAAATGTATCTCCGAGTGCCGCTGACAGGCCACAGATGTCCAACCAAAAAGAAACCCCTTTCGCCCTCCGATTTCTTTCTTTCTTTCTTTTTTTTTTTGGACTCGAGCAGATTAAGATTTGTTTGGTGCCTCCTCTTCAACTCGCTGGCATTTGTCACTTTCGTTTAGTTGTGAAGAGGGATCCCGAAGAGGTGTTGATTGTGTCACACTTGTCGCCTCCAAAAAACGAAAAAAAAATGCGAACAGTTTTGAGCTCGAGAAATTCAGAGGAGCGGACAAGAAACGAATGCCGCCTAAATATCCTTTAACTGTAACCAATGACACATCAAAGACCGGCGACCGAAGCCCAGAAAACCAGAACTCTGAACTCAGAACTCACAACCCAGAAAACAGAACCCAAAACCCGAATCGAATCGAATTGAACTCAACCAAAAAAAAAGACGAGCCCGTGCCCATCTTTAAGTACTCATGGGATTGGAATTCGGGCATTTCGAGTGCCTCCGATGATCGCGTGGTGATCGGGAAAACAATGGGAAAACCAGCTGCAGGAGGCCACGGAAAATTCGTAGCCGCCGCAACCTGTTGAAAATTCGAGCAAGGTGCCCCACCGAGGCGAAAGAAAAGCCGGCATAATGATGTTGTTGCGGTCAGATCGAATACATTCGAATACTGGGGAACATATGCTGCGGATATCCTTGACAGGTCAGATGGAACAGCTGGCTAACGATGGGAAAAGTATTCGAAAAAGAACGATCCCCGCCCGATTATTTGAAAAACACTGGGAGGGTCCTCAACTTAGCGATCTGTCAGCAGCAAATGATTTTGAAATGAAAAGGTGAGAGGTGATGGCATAGTTAAGTACTCACTTAAGTTGTACAGAAAGTGTTGTGAAAAATAAAAACAGAACATTTAGGAAAACTAAAACTGTTGTGAAAAATAATTAGATTTTCTAGCTTAACTAAAGTAATTTTGTTTATAAACAAACCTTCAATAAAACATTTATTTTTGTATTCAAAAGCAGCTAATTAAAAATGCATTTGTATTCACCAGGAAACTCTTTAAAAAAAACTACTTTATGTTCCATTTTATACTCGACAACTAGTTAAAATTCTAAAACTCAAGATCGGTTAACTTCAAAAGGTTGCAATTAAGTTTCTGGCTTAGCAGCACTTCCTCAATTAATCCAAGAACCCAGAATCGTTTTAAGCTGCCTATATAATATGCTCAATTTGCTAAGCACCTTTTCTAATCCCATTACATAAGCTTCAAGCCCTGATTTTCCAGCAATTTTCTTGTAATCGCAGCATTGCATGTTACTCAACATTTTTGAGAGAACTTCTCAGCGCTTCTTGTTCAATTTTCTGCAATTTTTGCGCATTTATTATTCAGTTTTCTTTACATTTTCTTTTTTTTTTTGGCAAATTACTCCGGCTTGCTATTTTCTTTTTTTTTGGCTTTGCTTTCTGGGCGCATTGAACTTCCGTTTTTAATGCGCTGCCACGCCCACATGGCGACTGCAACCGCCCTCGTTCCGACATTAATTTTATTTTTATTGTATTTGGTATTTGGTTTGTTGTTTTTAGTGGCCGAGCAATGAAGCGTTGCAAGGCGGCAACGGCAACGTTGAAAAATCGCGTCCGACTATTTTTTATGATTTTTTTTTTCATTTCTTCTTTTTTTCTTTATATTTTTTGTTGTTTTTTTTTTTTTGTAGGGGCAGGGGATTGAGGCGGTGACCGCGTTTGCTTTAGTTTAAACATTTGCCAGTCAAAGCGCGCTTAATTTATGCCTTTTTATGCTGATGAAACGCAGACGGGACCGCTCCACAAAAGCCAAAAGCCCAGAGACTTCTACTTCTACTACAAAACCACTTGGAGGTCGTCGGTGGAGGAACTACGATGCGATGCAAACAAAGTCGCCAGTTACACAGAGAAAAATTAGTAAGAAATATAGCAACTATTCAGAAGCTCAATTCAAAGTTTTGACACTATAAATTGCATTTTAAAGTCATTTCTTCCTCGCTTTTACATTTGTAAACCTACTAAGTTGATTTATATAAAATCAGTTAATAGTTTCCTTTGCTGTGTATGGAAATGGAATCGTTAAAGCAAAGCTTGGGCCAAACATCTCGGTCTCTTCCGCTTCGGGTTGCACTTGCCCTCTTCAGTGGAAATCGCCGGGTTCACCAATTAAAACTCATTTCTCGCTGGTTTTAATGGGTTCAAAAGTGGAGTTTGTATGCGGAGTTTGAGGAGGATTGTGCCGGATATTTTAGGGATGCAGAAACCTTTGCTTAAGCATTTCGTTAAAATATTGTATTTTAGTAATCATATTTTGGTTGTTATTTAAAGGAGTTCTTATTGCATCATTTTATAGCTTAACTAAAGGATTTAATTTGATTCATAAGATTTTATAAGATTTATAAGAAATTGTATTGTTTAAAAGCATCTCAATACCAGAAGTAACTGTTTCACATTAGACACTCAACTTTCATCTATGATCCCCATTCGAGATGGTACTATCCAGGCACTCGAGTCCCATGAAAACTGAACCCATGAACAACTCACCTGTATAACGCGCATGGGCAGGCCGGTCTCCTTGGCCAGTTGCTCCCTGATGTGGCGTGTCGGCTTCGGCGTCTGATTGAAGGCCGTCTTGAGCACCTCCAGCTGCTTGGCCTTGATGGTGGTGCGCGGACCGCGTCGCTTCGATCCGTTGGCATCGTCGGGACTTTTGTTCTCCGCCTGGGAATCGCCGCGTCCATCCGGATCCCCGTCCAAGGAGCCCTGCAATCGATTCAGAAAAAAAGAAAACGGAGATGGGTTATACACATACATAATATATCTCGTTCATACATCGCACTACAGTGCACACAATGGCGGAGCCTCATAATCGTTTGCCAATCATTAATCAAAGCGAGTGTCGAGTGCCGCCGGAGTGGGAGACCCCGACAATGCCACCTAACCGAAACGATGATCATCAAAGACCGAATCGATGGAATTATCATGGCGATTAGTCAAGTACCCATTGAACTTGGGAATTTAAAGGGAGTTAATAGTGTAATTTGTACTCAAGTTATCACCAAGAAAATGTAGTTTAACAGATGGAAGTCTAAGTGAGCCTGTAAACTAATATAATAATGGTATAATTAAGAAACATATTTTAAGTTATTTATCTAATGAAAATTTCTAGTTTCATGATTTTTAAGATTTTCTATTTAAATAGTGGAATATGGAAATGAGCTTTCTGATTCTTTGCAATTTAAATCAAGTTAATTTGAGTTCCCTTTAGGATTTAAAATAAACCTAGAACTATCAGGCTCTGTTGATTTCCCCCACTTTTACTGGGTAGCACTCCCATTCATTACTCGAAGTGGGGAAATCGCGGGGAAAACAAGCTAATGATGCTGCTGCACAGCGATCGAATGCGATCTGCAGCATTTGGTTTGGTTGGTTTGGCTGGTTTGGTTTGGCTTTACCTGATCGGAGTCGTCATGGGTATTTTTGCTATCGGTGCTCATGCTTTGTACTGATATATCCGATGTGCCCAGAGGTCCGCCCGCTGAGTCCGGTCCATTGGGCCCCAGAACGCCCAGTCCAAGTGCCGTGGCCCGCAAATGCGGCGGATCATCGTCGTCATCGTCTTCGCTCGCCGAGCCCATTAATGAATCTGTAAAAATTCCAAAAAAAAAAAAGGAAAAAAAACAGAGGGGGGAATAAGTAATATGTTAGGGGAAACGCTTGAACAAATTGCTGGGATACTACTCCACTTAAAATACAATTGCAATAAATAATATTTGCGCTGAGTTAAGCTCGAAACGAGGTTGGAATCGGTTTGGTTTGGGTTTTTGGGTTTGGAATTGGGAGTGGGTTTTCGGTTTCTGGTTCGGGATTGGGTTTATTTAACCGACGGGGTCACGTGTCACCATTTCATGGTCTAAGTAGCCGCTCCCCCTGCTGGTGTTCTGCCATCGAATTCCCTCGACTGGTGTTCGGGTCACGTGTCAACTGCAGTTGTTCCTCGCTGATTTCTCTATGAGTTGATTAGGCCGGGGGCCTTATCTCCCATGCCAAGTTCTGCTCTCGGCAGCCAGGCGGCCAAAACCGGGCGACTTTTAAGCCCTCGTCCATGCAAAATGCTGACACGCGTTCGACTTTCGAGCTGAGCTGAGCTGAGTTTTCTGGCTCGTTCCTCGCTCGACAGATAAGAGGAAAACGAGCCTCGAAACGTGTCACTCAAATAGAGCATTGTTTTCGCCTTAGGAAGGGAAATCTCTGCTGCCAGTGGAAAAACCCTCGGGGAGCACCTGAAAACGCTCCCCGAGGGACGCTTGCCAGAAATAAATTACACTTTATTATGCATAATCTAATCCGCACCAGATGCAGCCAAATAAAAATAAAATAGAGATAGAAATGGAAACGGGGGTTGTGGGTTCAGATCTGAAAGAAGCTGCGTTTCTGGGTTTCTGCTGTTGTGGGATTCATGGACTCAGCGATTCTGTGATTCTGAATTCTGGTTTGCAGTCTCATCTGGCACCTGTCACATCGACTGACTCCGCGGAGAAGAAGAGCTTAGCGCATTGGGAGACGAGTTGATGGGATGAGTGGAGATGATGATGAGATTCCAGCGATCCAAGTGCGGAATCATCGCCAGACGGGGCGATTCGGTCGATGGGGGGTAGCTTTCGCATTAGATATCCTCAGAGGTACGGAAAGCAAAGCGAGCTGACAAGCTGCAGCTTTAGTCTACGGTTGAAGAAATACTACTTCCATTCGGATGCCAATGTGGCTTTGGTTTACAATGTATTGCAGCTCTAACTACTGCCTCATTTTGGTATTGATTAGTTTTAATATGCTTTCTGATAATGAGAGAAGCTGATCAATGGACCAATGGATCTTTGAGATCAGCAAGTATTTCAATTTAATTTAGGATATTTTTTATTATAAAAGCTGCTTAATCATCTGTTTATCAATCTAATAGGTTGTTCTAATAATATACAATATATGTACATTTACTAAGATTCCCTAGCACTAAGTTTAAGCTCACTATTCTCTACTAAATAGCTGAGTGAAAATGCAAAACCCCTTTGATCCGAGAAGCTTCCCAGCATCTGGGTTCCCAAGCTCAAACCCATCGAGGAAACCCGGAACGGGAGAAGGGAAACCCGCGAGATCTTAATCAGTTTGGAGGAGTGTTCCGAGCGTTTGGTCGAGTGTCGCAGGATGCCGCAGAGGTCCTTCAACAATTGACCCGCAGACAGAGCCAACGGAACGGAAACTTCAAGTGTTTGCCAGCATCGCTTGCTTCAGAATGCTTTAAATGGTTCAGATGCCTCGAATAGCTGAACCGCTTCGCTTGGGTGGCTCAAGTGGGTGGTGGTTTAGAGCCCGCCAAGGAAACAGCAGAAAAAAGTGAAAGATCCCTGGTCAGAATCGAATGGCAACTCGATTCCATATGGGCGCTTTAAGTTGTTGTAAACACATGTTAATAAACACAACGCGGCGAGCGAGGGTTGTCAGTACCAGTAGCAAACAACTGGCTCGAGCATCACTCAAATTAACTTTGAAAACCATTCAGGAACACTTCATTTGATTGCCGCCGGAAAAGCGGGGGAGATTGGGAGAGGGGGTGGTGGTTTTCCACCCCCTGGTTTTTTCGGCGACCCTGCGGCAGTTGTTGTTTGTAATTGTTGTTGTAGCAATAGCAATTATACCATTGAAGCAACCCTCGGCAGCCATAAAAGTTCAAACACTCATTTCGCGCTTAGAAAAATATTTCCTCGTAACCTCGTGGCCTTCTGAATTTTCTGCCCCCTCCGCCTCCGCCGCCGCTTGCTCTTCTTGTTTTTCTTTGGCAAACATCCGCATCAGCATCCGCATTCGCATCCGCATCCGCAATCGACATCCGACATCCATCGAGGAGGATGCCGAACAAGTGCCGAGATCCTTGAGAGCTGAATCATTGGGCAAACAAGCAGGACAGCAGCAGGCACATAAATAAACAACAGGCGCCGCCCGTTGGCATGAATCCATCATTGTGCGATTTCCCTTCCCCCTTCCCCCTTCCCCCTACCCCCTTTTCTACCTTCCCCCTTTTCCCTTGGATTTTCCACTTGCCCTGTTTGCATAGTCAAGTGCAACAGTTTCCAGCTTCGGCCTCCAAAGTCCTGAATAGATTTTCCCTTCTTTGTCGAAGATCTCGAAAAGGTTGAGTACTTGTTGTTGTTGGTGGTGGGGGAAAAACTGAGAGGGAGGGGGAGGTTAGAGGGGGGTATCACCTGTTTTTCGACGGGGATGGTTGCCACTTGCCACAACAGATCGCCGCTTGAAGGCGAAATGTGAAAGGGAAAGCCGAATGGGAAGCTTTACAAATTTACTTTACACAAATGCCATTCTCTATTTTTAGAATTTGTTTAGCAAACTAAAAGATTTTCAGTAGTAGTTTTTCACTTATAAAATATTTTGTGGAAAACAAATTCTATTTAATATATATTTTACTACACAATTCAAATGCGCATCTGCAATATATTCTTACATTTCAACTTTAATTATTAGGCCATCATATATGGTATTTTAAAGCACAATATAAAAGCCCAAAACATGTTAAAAGAAGCCCAAATATTTACTTTCCTTTCCTTTTTCCTTTTTTTATTGCTTTAAACAATAAAATGCTAAGAGACACCTGGTTTAGCTTGAGTTTTCACTCTTTGCAAATCATTCTTGGCTCGCTCTAAAAATCCTTTCAATTCAGGTCATGTCCAGGCACCTTAAACGAATTTTCCCTCCGCAAAGAGAGGTAAAGGTAGAAAAAAATGGAAATGGAAAACCACCTTTGGAAATAACCCATATCATGTTCGGTGAAAATCGAAATTCCCCGTTGAACTTTTCGCCACCCCGAAAACTTTATTGCGCCACGTAAATAGTTTTGTCAGGACATCGAATCTACCTGTCATTGCCTCATCCGTGAAGGGGAGAAGGGGGAGCGGGGGATGTCCACTGGAGGGTGGTAGTGGGTGGCGGGTGGCGGGTGACTGGGTGGTTGGGCCACCCCAAGGACCAAAAATAAACGGAGAGCGATAGAGGAAGGAAGGAAGGCAGCAGCCACCACCAATCGACGTAGACAAAGCGCACACACATTAATTTCGAATTAGTTTTGCATCATGTGGTTCACGATGCAGAAAAATCGAGGGGGGTTTTTCCTCCGCCTCCCCCTCCTCCTCCTCTACTTTCCCCTCCTTTTTCTCATCTCTAGTGCTCCCCAGCATTTTCAGCTGGTTTTCCTATGCTCGTTCGCTTTTCTCCACCTCGCCTCGTGTTTATGGGCAACTATTAAGTGCACAACGTAGTGCGGCATGAAAAATGCGGCATGGACGTGGAACAGATCGCTGGATTTTCTACATGAGCGCGTTCTGAAAGTCGTTCGCCCCACCAACACATATATACACATACATATATATATATATATATATATATGTACTGTATCGCATATAGTCATTCCGGGTTCTTCCCATACTCCATTCATCGGACCAAATCCGAGGGGAGTCTCGAGTTTGCCGGCTGTAAAATTAGGTTAATTCCTGTCAGTGCGTTGCTGATTTGAATTGTCACAGAAGAGGATATCTACACTGCGCGGTTGTAATAAATGCGCAGCATTATCCACCTGCTAATAAAGTGTTCCTTTTTCGATGAGGTCTGGTCCTTCGGGGAGTTGTTTGAAGGGAAGTTCTTAGGGAGGAAGTGAGGCAACCCCTATCATCAGTTTCTATTCGGAAGTTAAGTAAGAAGTTGATTGAATTTGAAGAACTACTCAATTGTTTCTGACTTTTTGGTTATGTGAAAAGTTAACAACAATTAAATGGCAATCAGAACTATCTTGACAATTCATTAGGATTGTGAAAGGGAATTTTTAAATTATATATTTATAATAATGAATATGAGAAGTTGTTATGCATGGGTATTCATATTGAGTTAAATAGAGGTTATACCAGTTAAGTACCAGTTATTCTACGTTATATATTTTGTTTTTTTTTTATACCTTTCCAACACTTTTTATCACAGTGCATACACTTATGCACCTGGTTCTCGGTTTCGTACTCTTTGGCATGGGATTTACCCGCACTTTGAGTGCCATTCGCATTGACGTTCGCTGACGTCTCCTGCTCTTAACCCCCCAGCAGCCCCCCTTAACCCCCCTGTGGGCCCCGGTGAGCCCCTCTTAACCCCCGATTCGCCGCACCCCGATCGCGGCTTAGTGACGACGACTCTAATCCCTGACTGCCTGTCTCTCATCCTCATCCTACATCCACATCCCCAACCTACAAACTCGAACACGTACCATATATATATATATATATATTCGCAGATTCGCAGATTCGCATACAGTGAGTCGTGTATGTTTCTGCTCTTTCGCTTTTTTTCTCGGGGTTTATATTTTCCTTTTCGTCTTCTACTTTTTTGCACATGACAGTTACGCAAGAAAAGTGTCAAATCGAGTGAGTTGGCAAATGTTATGCAATCCCAGCTGGGATCCGATGCCCGATGCCCGATAAAAGCTGCCAACTGATTTTAAGAATTTTTCGTTCGCTTTAAGGCTAGAGAATTCTAGTTTTTATAGGATTTTTAAATTAATATTAAAGGTTTAAAAACTGTTACTGTTCTTTTGATTAAATT